TCATCACGCTTCGTAACACAACCACGTAATGCAACTAACCATAAACCAACTATCATTATCTAACCAGCCTGCATTGTGTACCCATAAACCAGTCACGCTTCGTAACACAACCACGCAATGCAACTAACCATAATCCAACCATCATTATCTAACCAGCCTGTATCGTGTACTCATCACCCAAACAGACTCCGTAATCCAACCAGCATCACCCAACTAACCATTCTGCATTGCTAAATTTAACTAGCAACACATTCCACTGTAGCTAAATACCAACATCAACCAAACACAGACACCGAACCAGCTTGTATACATACTGGTCAATTATCTTTCTCTAACTGTCTTGTAACTTGCCTTGAGGGTGTAAAGTCGACCTCCCACTCTGTCACGTGCTTCCAAAAGCAAGACATTTAGTCCTTCTTCGTGTAACAGTTTGGCAGACGATGTACCTGAACTATAATTATGCATATTTATATAGAAGTATAGAAATGATGAATCACCTTTTAATTACACTTTCAGTCGCTGTGTGGATAGATATTTCTAGTAATATTTACATTAAATCACGATAAAGGTATTCACGTGTAATCGGTTATTATGATAATTATTATCGTTGTGATATGGAATAAATTTCGTTATTAATTACCATTGATATAGTTTTGAATGGCTCCGTTCAATTTGCGTGTCCGTTACCTGGTCTCTGAATTCTCATTTTCATTATATTAGAGTCTTTTTTTTTTGTTTAATCGAAGTCGAACAAAATATGTACCCTTACTGGCAAACCTTTTTTTCTATATCACTCTTTTATTCTCAAGAGTACACAATGCTGGGTCGACGTCAACTCAAAGTCAAACATCAAATTGCTCACAAACGATCTTAATTTCCCTACGGTGAGAACCATTTAAAGAGCGGTGGTCTTCCCGGCACGCATGCGCGAGATATATGTCTCATATAATGAAAGATAGCGACATTGATTGTTGCGCAGACCAATGGGTACACACCGTGACGTCACCAAACTTGAATTAGGTAATTTCTGCGGTGATTAGAAGGTATCGGCAGTAATTAGTGCACGTCGCGCCCAGGTCAAAACTCGTACTCGTAATTTCCATTAGAAGAGCGTATTGAAATCTGGGAAAGTCATATTTATCAGCAGAAATGGCGCACATGCGCGGCGCGACGACCACCACCCTTTCATGACATGGACAAAAATATATCAAGCAAGTTCATGTGTTAGTGATTCGTAAAATTAGATAGATTTGTCAGAATCATGAAAAATACATTAACCTGACAACTTTTCATCATATTATTGCTAACTGGTGTCCTTTTAAAGTGTTAAAGGGGAACCGCTCAAACCCATGGATTGCACCAAAGAATCGTGGGACACTATTGTTTATGTTGTTTATAATGTTAATCTATCTTTTGTTATCCACTGTTATTTTAATCCAGAAAGTAAATTTGTTGTGAGATTAGGCTTAAGTGGAAGGTGCCCCTTTAAGATAATAATAATTTAGTATCGGTAGCAATGTGATTAAAATCTGGTGTATTGTGTTATGAACAAGAGCTTTCTGTTCGGGGATCTGGGAACTTCGTCTCGCTTGGCTGATAACACTTACACGCAGAGATACCGGATTCGACCCAAATGAATGCACATTAGTTCATTACAGATAGTCCAGCTTCTATTTATCGAAGTCCTGAAATACATGTTTATAGTCTCCACCCTAAACATGCAAGTTGTTGATTCTAAACAGTGCAACGACGTGTGGAACCGAATGTGCGAACGTGAAGTCGCTATCATAACAATTGTACGACGTGAATTTGATTTATTTTATATTTTATTTTTACTATACATTGTTATTATTTTGTAATATGACAGAACTCCACACCCTCCCCGTGGCTTTCGTTGCGTATGGCAGTTATTTCGCTTCGCTCGTGAAAGTACGGCCGCAGAATACACCGCATCTCGAGAGGCAGAGGCAGAGGCGGCGTCATGAAATTTCGCATGAGGGTGCAAAATCTGAAGTCTGGACTCTCTGAAACGCTATTTCCTGCATTTTGAGGGGCAAATTTTGCTGACACAAAGGGTTTCAACTTGACGCCCCCCCCCAATGTTTTTTTCGGGTGGGCGACCGCCACTAACCTGACTAGTTTATGACTTCGTACAGTTTTGCAGCTCCATTCGAACTCCATGCATTTTACGTTTATTTACCTTCATTTGTCCTCGAAAATCCCTGCTCCGAGGCACAATGTTGCCACTTCTACACTGCAATGAGTAAATCCATATAAAACGGAGTATACATACCACTGATACCAGCTCCAATAACAACCACATCGTATGTGTCTCCTGTCATAGCTGCTGCTGGGTTATACCAAAGGGCAATCGGTGTTGATAGTAGTGTATGGCGATATACATGCCACTGAGAGGTCAACACACTTCAGAACTCAGGCCTGTTACCTATAAACACTTACAATCGCCGATTGTCGTGCAATATATCACATACACAAATAAGGTCAAGCTCTCATTTGTTTAATTCATGCAAACCGTGGCCTCCATTACCTCCCTATTTACACTCTGTTCTACGCAAACTCCGTCGCTGATGGCGCGGTTTTCAGAATAGCCCTCAATTATGCAGTAGGTAAATTATTTTATTGCACTTAATCTTCTTACGAATGACTATTTATTTATGTGTAATTAATTGCTGCTGGTTGTGGATGAACTTGGTACAGTATGAACGAATCTATTTTTTGTTGTCCCGTACAATTGTTAATAATATCAGTTTACTGTGTCAATAAATCCTGGAATCTTTAGTACACGATTCTACAAGATGAAGGCGAGGCGTCTAATCACACAACACCTTCTCTTCAACGCATTTTTGGTTTAATAGTTTTAAGAATCTGTGAGAAGATGCCACTCAAATGGATAGGGATTAGTTGCCATGGCCACTGTGCTTCATTGTGCATTGTCGCATACATCATAGGAGAATTTCATCATATTACATTTTGCCAACATTCGCACCACTTTGGTTACCCAATTAAGAATTACAGTTATTACAACCTAGCTCGTACATTAGGTATTCCGATTCGATGTCTTAATAAAGTCGTGCGTTGGCAAACAGCGCCAACTATGGCGAATGCGAGATATGTTCGCTTATAGACGAGACAATAAGAACGTTGGTTAACATATACGATATTCAAAAAAGTGAATTTCACTAAATGAATACATTTCTTTTTAATAATCAAATAAGAGCGCATTTCCCTTTCTATTAGCTGGGTTGTACGCGTTAATGGTTAGCATATTTATACAAAATTGATCAACTAAACCCTAAAATACACTTTCTCTGCGTATCGCTAACTCGCGTAATTTATCATAAGTAAGTGTAACGTTCGATATACAAATTGGTCACAACAATACTGAAATGTCACATGTCTATGTCACATGTCAGGTAATATATTTCTGAAATGGCTTACTTATTTCAGAAAGAGACTAGAAAAATAAAAAAAAAATAAAAATATGCGATATACGAGTGAGACAAACAATCAGCACAACACAAGTAAGTTGATTTATTTACTATAAACTGTGAAACACTTCACTATTAAACAATGCACACAATGTAGTTGTGGCTCGGCCATACTAATGGTACAACTCAGACCCGAACGAAAACATATTCAAGAAGAATTTAGCCTGAAAGTGTTATATTTTGCTTCGGATGAGTTTAATCAAAAGCAGATTTCAAACATTCATTTTGTAAGATTTGTTCAGTCCAATATCTTCTCAACAAAAGGCTTGAAAATCGTTAGTGTGATGTAAACCGCCTTCAGGTCTATTGCGGCCATCTTTGATTCCGTCCAAAAAATGGCTTTCGACGCCATACTGCTTACGAAAATTTACTCGAGAATAATGTAATACAGCCTACTTTAATTCATTCAAAGCGTGAGAGTCGTCACCTGCGCATGCGTCAGATGGCCATAGCGTGTCATTGTTTACAAACAAGCGTGTGTTGTTATCGTCTCTTGGGACTCAATTCCCGTGCGTGCGCAAGTGACGACCCCGCCGCGTTAACTGATCGAGTTGAATTGGCGACATTGTTGTCTTTAAAGTTTGTAATGATGGTTTTCTGTCAATTAGTCCATATAAAGTCCTGTAATGAAGTATTCTGATTAGTTCAGAGACTGTAGGTAAATGTTAAAACCTGATTACGAGTGTGATACACAACATATGCATCTTTCGGATTTCAATCAATAACATATTTTACAATTTTCATTGATTCTGATTTGCTTGATTATTATAGAAACTCGAAACTTCCTTTTCACCATTTAAAATAAGTCTGTCAGCTTATTTTTCACCTGTTCAATAATACTTCGATTTCTCATTAAGATAGCAGCCCCAGCAACGATTAACGTAGACAGTGACAGAAAACGGAGAAATCCAGGGATAGATGGTATGTGCTTCTCTATCAAAGATTCCTCGAATGGCAAAGCAGGGACATCCTAGAAAATAATTGATATACATTGAGCTTACTAGTGATTTATACACCACACGTACGAATAAAGAGATTAGAGAGATTCTGCTACAAGTTTTACGTGTACCCGTGAAGTCACTCATTTCGGTGTTGGCGTCATTGAACACTTAGAATGTCCTCGCGTACGCGAAAACAGATCCTCGGATTTTTCTTGTGGGCAGTTGATTTCACATAACGTGTGCATTTATTTTTTTTTGGACAAAAAAGTGTACACACACAGTTACACAGTTGATTGGTTAATGTCAGCTGTATCTTAGATTGCATTGTTATATACTTAAATAATATCTAATACATAATCAATAAGTATATATGAAACTGTCCCAACATCGACGTTTATTATGAATGTTAACGATGATTGTGTATGTCTCCATATTTAATCTACCGTACCGTCAGAAAGTCCAGCGGTCGCCGCACCTCACCGAGGACATGCTCTCCCAATAACATAATATAGGCCCTCTGAAACGCTGTTTCCTGCATTTTTAGGGGCAAATTTTGCTGTCACAGAGGGTTTCAGCTTGATTTTGGAGGCGCGACGCCCCCCCCCCCTAATTGTGTTTTTTTTTCGATTTTCCCGCTCCTTTGCCCCCGCCACTGCTTCGATTGACAATCTTGATATGTAGGTCTTCTTGAACCGAAAATGTCCTTAAAGTTGATCATAAGCCATCCTATCCAAATGGAAACGCGGTGCTATGGTTCTATCATAGGCATTGCAATTAGCACTGAAAGCGAGTGCGAACAGTTCACACTCGTATAATGGTGGCCATCATTGTGTCCAATAAATTGCGCGATTTACACTGAACGGCTAGGTCAACGCGTAACCAAACGATTGGTCACCGGGAACGTCCACGTCAACGTGAACGCGGAATCTGCGCAAACAGGTACAAGTAAAGCGTGTAGCAGAACCTGTCTAATATTACATTCGCGCAAATATGACAATGCTACACACGTATAGTGGACGTGCTACCTACCAATGACTCGGGTTCAGATTGCCAGATTTCGCTCTCTTTTATCTTGCCCATCGCATACATGATCTGAAAAAGCGTAATGAATACTGAAATAAAATAGCTCCTTAAATAACCGATTTGTGTGTTTGATATTATTACCAAACGCTTCAGCGTGGTATTAAGAGTTTGTTTTCAGGGGTGGGTGATACCAAGGTGGGAAATGGATGCACATATGGGGTTAATTCCTTGAATTGCAATATAGAGGGTTCAGGCTGAAATACAATATATAGTGTTTTCATGTTTCGTCTGATATTTCTGTGGTATTCTGCTGCTGTAAGTAATGCACCATTTGTTCCGAAATTCAGTATATTGTGTGTATTCCAGGGTTATTCGTTTTTTGCTGAAAACAGTAGGCGTTGTTGCTGTAATTGACACGTGTAGTTAACATGTGCATGTTTATGTTTGTTAAAAATATATTCCTACATATTCCTAGACGTGGGAACATCACCCCAATTTCACACGTCAGATTAGAAATAACACGGTGTTTGAACACACCGACATATTTGGAATGTGCACAACGACAATCATATAGGAGTTTATATATTGATTCGCAACTTATTATTGATTTAGGATGATGTCATATTTCTGGCATGTTGATGAGAGCATTGAACTGTAACGCATCGTGACTAACACCCGCATAATAAAACAAGTTACGGCTGAAGTTATTGTGTTCTGTTGCGTGCATCGAATTAAATACTGCACCGATCATGATTATTTGTGAATTACACAAGTCGTAACTGTATTTTCATACATATTACGCTTCCTATGTAGAAGCCGTACCTCCCGTGCAGCCCGTTCGCCAGACTGTACAGCACCTTCCATGTACCCAGCCCACTCCGTTGCTGTCTCCGTACCAGCAAAGTGAACACAGCCATGTGGAGTACGTATAACACTGGTTTAAAAAAAAACAATAATAATGATAGTGCCACGCTCAAGAGTAGGTGCAATTATCTCCAGTTGTACGCTTCATGAGACAAGCGCCAATGTATTAAAATAGTGTATATTTCTGAACACGCGTGTGACTAATATATGTGTTATTTTATAATATATCAGGATATATTTCCGCACCTTATATGGGATTCAAGTACAATGAATAAGTATATAATAATAACAACTGTGCATGAGACTATTACGAAACAAGTAACCAATACATACAGCTGAACATTCATTGACAGCGAATTACAGGGAGCACTATCTTCTATATAGTCGTGACATACACCTAATATTGTAACTATCATCATGGGGCATTCCGCAAATATAATATTAACCTGTCACTATTTTTTTATTATTGATGGATTACGCTCACCTTCCAAAAGATGTAAGAACACCGGGAGGCATTACTCCAACATAGCATCCACCTGAATATTCCTCACTCAACCAGTCGTTATCTATGTATTCTATCGGCTTGTAAAATAAATAAATAATTAGACAATTAAAATTTACTTTTTGTAAGCAAAGATAATTAATTCCATCAGCTACTAAAAGAAAGAAAATCTCAACATTTCTGTACGCGTATGAAAATATATTTTAGTATCTGGAGACCAACGTTAATAAGTATAATAACTGTGTTGTAAATTGTAATGCAATGAATAGTTTGTGGAATATTATGTTATATGATAATCCAGACGTGTATACGTCCACTGCATTGCATGGGAAGTCAAGCGTAAGTTGTCTTATTTTAGATACAAAACAGTCGCGTTTTGAATGGGTGAGGCACGGGTTAATGAACTGTATTCCGTGGATGCCATATTATAATGAGCATAGTATAGTTTATTTAAATACAAATAACACAGTCTTAAATGTAGTACTCACATGATTAGCTTCATCCGATTCGAAAATTTCTGCGTAGAATTCTGCGAGTCTCTTTTTTCTGTCATGAGATTTAAATGCAAATAATTTCAATTAAAAGTGTCATTTGTTATTATATTTCATTATGTTGATTGCAATTAAACTACATTCATGATTTGAATCATGCAATAAAATGTATTACTTTTCAGTTTTGAAAATATATGATTAACATCTGAGTGTGCATTTCATTTGTTTGTTTGTTTGTTTACCTTTCTTCTTTGGTCCAGGTAGTCATTATCCGTGCAGGTTCACCTACAATTAGTCTGAAACAAACATGATAATTGTATATCATTATACACATACCATAGAGTAGTTTGGTGGCATTGGACAGATCTCTGCTAGAGCAATACAATGAACTTTATTTGATGAAAATCAGAGTAACCGTTCTCGAGATAAGGTACTTTGTAGCTTCAATTAGCATCTCTTAATTTTGGACAAAGGATGACACAACAAAGCACTACTGAATAGTAAAGACAACAGCACCATTTTGGAAGAATAAGCACTAATTATTTAATTGGAGCTGAAATTAAAACTGCCATATCTTTCCCCTTTTTTATCGAATTTTCACCAAATTTTCAACAAATGAACTTTATATCAATGTTTATCTAATGTCATTAGAGAGCAACATATAGACCATCTGTTACCATGGAAACAGGCAATATTCAAATTTCATTTTAAATCATCTGTCAGTGTCAATAAAGATAAACAAGTTATACTTTCGTTTATGTTGCTTTCGTTTTTATTCCTATACAAATGCATTGAAAACGCCATCATCGACCGGCTATGCGTTCTACCAGGCTTTGCTTATTTTTACGCTATAATAATACTTATGAAACAAAAAGCATTGACACGAATAAACAAATCTAAGATATAACATTATAGCATAATATACAGCTTATTTTTTGGCAACTTGGAAAAGAAGTAAGCGTGAAAAACATAACTGGGAGCTGCCCGGAAAATTTGAAATCTCTGTGCATGATCGATCCATTTTTATGCCAAAATAACCAATAAATCATCTCAATTCTACAGCTGTGAATGCTCTAACATGTACAATTCGTTTTACTTTGCATTTACGCTGTATTTTCGACATGTTAAAAACAAAATAAACGTATTTTGCCGTAAATAAAAGTGAAGGAGAGAACGATTCTCTTCGTACATGAGAGTGGCGTCCATGTAAACAAAGTACCGGGGTGGAGGTACCACTTTTAAAATGGGCTTGTCGCACTTTATAAATTGATGTCAAACTCACAAAACCTTGATTTGTGACTATTAAAATATATATTCTTTTCAAATTATGAGTGATAGATATGCCAGAAAGTTGTAAGTCGATACGAAAATTGCCGTTTAACTTTTGTTTTTATTGGCGTTTCGTCAATTTTCGGCCGATTCTCAAAATCGTATGGTCCATTCCAACGCAGGAAAAACGCAGCAAACTTCTCTGGATTTGGAACACCGGGTCAAATTTAGAGGACACGCTCGCGTTCAAGGCGCTTGCCAGGATTGTCAAATGTTTCAATTTTTATTCTCCCGTATTGTCAAAACGGCTACTCGCAATGTGTTGCAATTTTCAGAAAATGACCATAAGATATAGAGCTAGAATTCCTGGTAATGTTAATTTTTTTTTGCCTCTAGTTTTGCTGACGTATTTTGTAGTTTTTGAAAGGGTAGCTGCCCACACCCACTTCTTCCGATTTCATTAAAGAAGTGACTGAAATCCCTAATTTAAATGTGCTTTTGCAGCTGAATATGTTCTTGGGCTATTGAATACGACGGTTATATAACACTCAGATTTTAACACTTTTTTCTGTTTATAAGTGTTTAAAAACAATATATAATTAGACTTACAATTTAAAACAGTATAAATAAATCTTCACACTTTCACTTAAAACATTATGTTTAATTTTGATTTTATGTGAGTAAGCCATATTTTTATCTGAAATTGATGAACCATTCTCGAATGCGTTCAATCAAGGCTAATTAGCATATGGATTGTTGATGTGATGTTGGTTTAACAGTTTGTAGCATATATAGTACAACAGTTGACAAACTTGAAGACAATTTTAGGGCTTGAATATGTTTCAGATGTAACTTTTTTTATTCAAACATGAATTCTTTTTATTTTCAGTTGATCTTCACTCACCCGATGATACATGGGCATGAACCATCTGGTTTTGTATCATCAAGAGCTATGGCTACTAATCCACCTGTGACTGCCATTCCATTGAAGTCTGTAATGACATACATTTTATAAATTACTAAATGATTTCACATTCTTATTTAACGTAGATGACGGAATGGTTAGATTATGTAACTAGCTAACGGATGGAATTGTGTTTTTTTCTGTGTTTTTTGTGGTTATATAAACACACACATGAAAACTAATGTGTATAATTCACACAATTAAGCTTATCGAACTCGTACAGTAATACGAGTGACTTCACTTTTATATGCCATCACTGAATCCAGTTTTGCTACCAAGTATGAATATTTATCATATTCATACAACAATTATGTATACTCACTTTTCTCCCTCCAGAATGTTCTTTTATAATACAAATGCGACTTGACAGCCGAGCCCATTGGTACACGCTGAATAAACTGAAAAAAATGTTTAACATTTCATTACAATTTCTACTCTTGAAAAAAATACATAATCAAAAATGAAATGCTTAATCATCTAATATGGTACGTCTACCTGGATTTTCTTTGGTGGCAGTGGTGGGTCAAATGTCATCCTACCAAGTAAACATGGAGTAACAGCACTGATGGCGTGTTTTGTCTAAAAAAAATAAACGTTCATTACTAGTTTGATATCTATAAGCCAATATATGACATATACAAATACAATGCCTCGATGACGATTCAACCACGTGCACTGCATTAAAAAGAAGAAATATCGACAGATAAATCGGACATCTACTAAATCAAGCCTACGATGGAGCGATCTAGTACATACATATGCTATATGTTACTAAGATAGCTGAAAACACCAACTAAGCTATTAAATGCAGGATTATTTTGTTTCCAAGCTGCTTACCTTAAATTGTTCACCACTTGCTGTTGTTATTATGATGACGTCATCGTCAGTATTTTGTTCAACTCTCACCACAGGGCTGTTAAACTTTATTTTGTCTAAAAGAAATATATGATGATCTTTATATATAGGAATATGTAACAGCAAATGCTGGCGTTGACCTTTGTTTGTGGGAATGATACATGACAGGTAATATTTCGAGAAATTTAACATCGAATTCCACCCACCCGTAGACACGTGTACCAGGTACCGTAACAAATCATGTTATCATTCGTAACATAATTGTAGCACTATTCCGGCATGTCAAAATCTCAGTATCGTGGGATATCAAAGAATAATTCCAGTGGCATGTCTGAATACTGTCATAGTATGTCAATAACTTCGTCTCGTAGTGTGTCGGTATCTTAGTATTATGATATGTCAGTATCTTTAATGGCATGTCAGTAAGTTATCGTTATGGCATGTCAGGAAATTAATCAGTGTTTCAGAATTATGAGATGTATTTTATAATTGTGGTATGTCTTAGTCTTGTAGTAAGCAAGGTCGCATACGATATACCTTTGCCAATACGTTCTATTATCTTCTCAGATATGGTTTGACTGCCGCCAATGAACTTTCTTTCCTGCAATGCAAATACAGATGAATTATACTTTAGCGATGTAAATAACTATTATATTTTGAAGGTACTGTGATCATCAAGTCAAGTGTTTCCTCTTACCTGGCCTCCATTATCTGTGCTAGCTAACCTCATGATTCCTTTAAAATTAGAAGATGATTGATATGCATCAATTAAATATTCAAAAATATTTGTTTTTAAATCACCATAATAACGCAATATATATTAGTTTGAGTGCTGCAAAATGCGCTCACCTTTTCCTGACTGGGTATACCAAAAGAAATAGAGAAGAGATATCTCCTCCGGTTCAGCTGCATATAATAGACGTGTCAGAATTATGGTCCACTCTTTTGCCGTCTTTGTCCAGCAGATTTTATCAATCCATTCCTTGACAGTCATTTTGTCCCACTCTGCAGCTTTCGGACAATCCCATGGTGCAGCAGGAGGCACCTGGTTGAAAAAAATATATTACTTGGAGCTTCCCAGGTTTATATGTACTCGCATGTTACCATTATGCAAAGATGTGATATTTCCTATATATCATGCGCATACTGCCTACCTCATGTGTATAAGGCGTATTAAAAGATTTGCTTTATGATTATTATGCTTCAAGTGCGGTGGTCGTCGCGTTGCGCATGTGCGACATTTTGTGTTGAGAAACATTGATTTTCCCACAATCCAATGCGCTCTTATAACGGAAATCACATGTATAAGGTTTGACCTAGGCGCGACTTGTACTAATCACCGCCGGTGACTTATTCGATACCTTCCAATAACATAAACAAATAATTAAAAGCTTGATAACTTCTTAAGTTTGTACTCGTTGATCTGCGCAACATTCAAAGTCGCCATCTTTGTTTATATAAGATCTATATATCTCGCGCATGCGTGGCGCGTCGACTGCTGCACACAAGACCCACAATGTTTACCTCATCATGCAGCACGCATGACCCCACTCCTTGCCTGTATCCGTTCTGTGATGTCACTGCATATCATGAATAAATAATAGCAACAGATTAGCTGCAAATAAGACCAGTCTGTGGTGATTTCGCGTTCACCACACCTTTCGCAAGACTATTTTTTCCAATTTGTTTAATTGAAAAAAAAATCACCACAGCTGGGTCAGTCTAATGTATGCCCCAACTTTTTCAACGCCATGTCTCTCCAAATGATCTTTATCCGTATTTGCTAGAAATAGATCACTGAATGGGGGTCCACGTGCAGTGAATACATTTATTATGAGATTCAATTTGGACAAGAGAACTGGTGATGGTTGTAGAACCATAACTGCCCCAGCTCAAAGATTGTTATGTAATACAGGGGAATGTGAAGGAAAATGTATTGTAGTGTTACCTCTGTGTAATTTACAATATAGCTGCATTAACCTCCACTGTGAAGGACAATATGGGAGTTGACTTAAGGTAGAGATGCAGTTTACTTGACAGGTATTTTAATTAGTTAATTAGGAAACCAAGATGACCTCCTTTGTCCACAAAACTATATATTTTTGGAAAGCTTATGACTGGTAGAAGCAAGGCTGGTCAAATTTTGCGAAACAGTAGTTTCCAGATACGCAATCAACACATTGTGGGATATCAAAATATAGATGATAATAAACAGTAAGTGATATTTCCATAGATGTACAATGTAGTTGGAATTGAAGCAAAGGAGTGGCCTATTAATCCATGAAACATATTCACACATATCCGTACATATTATCCTGTCTTAATGTGTGTGGGCAAAGCTGTCATGCACATAATCTGTATTACTGTAAATATGTATTACTGTAAATAATTATGAACAATACAAACTGAAATTTAGAAAAACAACAATTAATAAGGAAAATATGTGATTTGCTGTACAGTTTCCAGAAAATTATTACAAGTCCCAGAAGTGCATACGAGTCGTCAGAACGTACAGTTTGGCGACAGTTAAGAATGATACCAAGATTTAACAATTCCATGAGAATATCGCAACGTTCTTTTAACACATGAAACAGATGTGCATTGGTCGAATTTTGTATAGTTTCAATAGGCATTCAAGCAACTGTATATATTTTGACAATAAACCCCTCATTCGCATTGTGCAACTACAAACAAGACATTAAACCTTCTTGATAGTAACAAGTAAGTGTTGTATAATCCCGAATGGAAAGTCTGGTGTCATGGCGAATACTTCTAGCGAGTCACCCCTACAAAAACGTCATTACTGTGCCAATGACATTGAACTTTGCTCTACCATAAAGCAGCAGTTTCCATCTTCAAATAATCAAAATATCCTTGATACCCTGGCGAAGCATGTCCATTGTTTCACAACGACTGTCCCAAGGGATTTTCGTCTTCTCAATGTCTCAAGATAAACGTCCCATGGTGTTTTGTTTACTAGAAGAACATGTTTTTTGGTAGCATTGCTCAAAAAAGTAGCAAATACTGTCACTGAAACACAGGATTTGCATGATGTTTTCTCCCCAACCATTCACGCAAACTGCAAACGAAGTATTTTACCTCATCCATAGTTGTTGACACTTTGCAACCGCCTTGATGGATGTATTGTGACGTATTTTGACCCCGGATTCTGACCTTGCATGCTGGCTAAATTTACTGCCCTTTCATACCAGCTCAATTTCCTTTAATTATTACATCCAAATTTCATGATGTTTAATATTTAAAACCAACCTTTATTTCACAGTCACTTTAGTTGTCACTTTTCTAAAATTATTTTACAGATCAAAAGAATTTTCACTCCCATCATGCAATCTCCCATAGTACTTCCGCAGACACAGTGGCGATCGCCAACATATCTACAATTAACCTCGCTCTCAGGAGCTGAGGAATAACCAAATGTGGCCATTTGATAATTAATTTTATGTGATACGATCCAGGAATAAAACACATTCAGTGGTGAAACCCTAGACAGCATATACGTGAGTTGAACACATATAAGATTAGCAGATAACTCACCATTGCTGCACATTCATCCATTACTTTACATACGTTGTTTATGTCCATGACAACAAATGGGTTATAGAAGTTAGGAATACTCCCTTGGAATACGTATTTCGTACTTGGACCCTACGAGGAAATTGAGTGTTGACTTGGTTATGTGTATTGTATGTATTACATTTGTTCAAACATTGACAAAGGCAACTTAATTAATGTACACATTAAGCGTATTCCATGACATATGAATAGTTGCATTTAGTGGTGCACAAGTGCATATTCGATTGGGAAAATGTTAATAGGCTCAAACATATCACCATATACTTTTGCGCATTATCGCAACACTTCAATATACTGACATACGGATGAGTAACTGATGATAAGTTGTTATGCCATTGTTTGATGAAATAACTCTGTGATAATTACATTCGAATACACAGGTCAAAATCACTATATTATCGATTTAACAGAAATTCTGAGAATGAAAGTTAGTAAACTAAACCAACATTGCAACGAGCCAAATTTGTTAGATATGTTGAAAAAGTTATTGCATGGAAACAAAATACAAAAACCAATACTAAGTTGGACTCTCATTCAACAATTTGACATATAATCGACAGTTCGGCTCAAAAAAATATGTTAAACCTAATTAATGTTGTTCATGAAGACTATTCGTTATTAATGCTGTCATATTCAGGTCACAGGCGATTAACTAGTTGGTGACCACCACCAATGACACTCTGAGATATTATGTTCAAGCAGATGTTTAAGCTCGGGTGCATGTACTATAAAACATGTGACTTCAAGTAGATGATATTTCAGTAATTTATATTAAATGACATAGAATTTTGGAATTACTCACTCCAGCTTGAAATATTGTTCTCTCTTTTACATTCACTCTGTAGGTGTCAACACCAAGATCTTTTGCCAATCGCAGAACTCTGTTCTGAGTTGGACCAATATATGAACCGCCCAAATCAACATACTTGAATGATGGAGCCTATGGGTAGAATTTAATATACCGTGGTTAGAACAACAACACTCTTGACATGTCAATATGTATGTGTTTGCTTGCTATGTGCGAAAATGTTGCTTGTTTTGCGGTTGTCTGAGGTTGCTTTCATTTTTCCTGCTGCTCTATGATTTATGCCGTCGCGTCGTTTTATTTCAATTTGATCTCTCCGCCAATAAGTCCGTTTATTGGCGATCCGCTCCGCTAGGATTGCCCTTATAATCACTTTTGTCGTTTTGTGTGTGTGTGTGTGTGTGTGTGTGTGTGTCTGTGTGTGTACATTTCCAGTGTTCACTATTATTTCTTCTGTAATTTTTTTGGCTTGGCCGATTTCGTTCAAACTTGGCAGGTAGGTCACACCTTAACCCTAGTTATAAGGAAAAATCTGAAAAAATTTTTTGGCCCACCGTTGCCATAGCAACAGCCAAAAAACTGATTTTTGGATAGCTTTGCGCCAAATGTATCTCCTCCTACAAATTTGGGATAAAATACTTGAGACATAGCTCATTCTACTCAGCTTGAGTGTGGGCACAAAGTTACCATTTGAATTTTTGATATCTGTTTTCATTACCGAGAAATTTGACCCTAAAGTTGGGGTAACTTTTCACCAGCAACGGCTTTTAACTCCTCTGTGATTGTTTCGGCTCAGCCGGTTTTGTTCATACTTCACAGGTAGTTCGTGCCGTCACTAATTGGAAAACAATCCTGGCCCACCATTGCCATTGCAACATCCAAAAACTGATTTTTGAATACTTTCGCCCCAAATGT